ATGAAAATAGATTTTGAAATGGCTAATTCTAATTGCCTTGAAGGAAATGATGATACACATTGCTCAGGATTTATATGCAGGATGGTTATCCTTTACCTAATTAAAGGAAAAGTAGGAAAGAGTTCTCTACTTGTGACCTGCTTAGTTTTGGACATATTTTGTGTTTGTTTTACATTTAACATACACATACCTGAACATCATTTGCATATCAACAAGGCAATCATGCTTCCATCTACACATCCATTTCATCTTTGAATGTACTTTCATAAACAGAAGTATGAGTCTGTGATGTGAAATGTCAAAATTTCAGTTGATTATTTCATAATGTAGATGTTCATATAAAAGAGATGCTTGTGATGAAAATCAGTAAGACCTCACTATTTTGCTCATGACATTGTTTAGGAAAAGATTGAGGCAAAATCATTTCATTCATTATTATGATCTTAAACTTTGTGTGCTGGGTCTGAAGAATCAGATCTGACAGATTAGCTTCATAAAGTTCAGTGTTGCATCTTTCTATGTACAGTCAGATGTAGCTCTCCTCTGCCTTGCTTGTGTATGACACAAAATACAAGCACTCTGACCAACTTGGTTGGAGAGTCAGTTCAGGAGCATCAACAATGTACTTTTTTACTACCAGAGAATTATGTATTTCTAGTATTCAGTGGTATAAAAAACATATGAAAATATATTGTGAACAAAATACACTCTATTCAGATGCTGCCAACATTGCACTCTTATAATTGTCAGTTTTTATTTGAAATAAATATTTTACTAAACCTGTTTTGATGCTCTGCCATCCAAGATGTACACTGTTTACAAAAGAAATAAAGATTATTTAATAGTAATGGTAATGAACATAAACAGACACCTACCTATTCCAAAAATAACTTGTTTTTGAAGAAAGAGTTAGGTGGAATCTTTCCACAGAGTGCCAACCACCTCATCTAACCATTATAGCAGAAAAAAATTATGATTACATTGTTTTCAGAGTAGCATAACCAGTTCCACATTTAACAAATTATTGTTAAGTTATACATGTAATGTGTATAAATATGTAGTTTGCATACTGAGTTGAATGTTTGACAGTACATATAAAGATATTTACTTTTTTTCCTGTGTCAGTTATTTTTAAGATGTACTCCATAATAACTTAGAATGGAATTATGGAGTGGTTGTTTCAAGAGGTTATTGGAAGATTTATTTGTTGTGAAAGCTAAAGAGGTAGTGATTGCATTTTGCACTGTTTAATGGTTTCTGAAATGTGAAGATGTATTTTTTCTGAAATGTTGAAAGACCTACCCATATTATGATTACTGTGTAATAATCACTGGAAAACATCTGACTCAAACTTGGCTTTATTATAATGTATCTTACCAGGGGATTTCTTAGGTAAGATTTATATTACTGCAATTTCATAGAATCGAGATACAGTGTAAAATCTTCCTCATACTTCCTCAACTTGGTTTTATAAGTAAGATTCATCTTTATATCAGCTGCTGCTCTTGAGTGTGTAATATGTTTGAACAGGTTGTTCAACATAATTCCCCGTATTTGTTCTTGGTAAAGGTTGAATGAGGATTTTTTAACAAAAAAAAGTCAAGAAATACATATACGTAATGTAGATTTTATTTATTTATTGATACAAACACATGCATGCATCCTCCCCCCCCCACACACACACACAAAAGACTGATATGGGAACAATGAAGTATTATTTTATTTTCAAAACCATTTTGTCAGGTTATGGTATCAAGTATGATAAGTTTTTTGTTTACTAGATTACTTCATTCCTTTTTATCAGTCAAATATTTTTTCACTAAAATATTGAAAAGAACTTCATTGACCAATCCCTCCCATTTTATATTCTATGAAATATAACTTTCAAATCATCATCATCTCTTTATTTTAAGCTTTAATTATTTTTCCGGTTGCCATATAGTACATTAAGTAAAGCCTTTCATATTAGTTTAGAGTCCAGTGAAATGTAATTGGAAACAAGATTATAATTTAAAGCAAAAATACTGAAAGATATTACAAAATCATGTTATCTTATGAAACCCAGGTAAAACACATACATATATTTCTAGCAAAAGAAAAGGAAACAAAGATGAATTCTGCTCAAAGACATGGTGTATTAATACTGTCAAGGCAGCTCCTTGTATGGAGAACAGCCTTTTAGGTCGTTCACTGGGTTGTGGTCTAAATATTATGTTATATTTTTGTTACACTTCATTTATGTAATCTGTATATAGATGCACTCTGTTCTTTTTTTTATATATATATATTTAGAGTGATTGTGAATCCTTGTATCATGAAAATTTCATATTACCATTACAAGATTTTACTCATTAATGTGTTTGTTCTATCCTAAAATGTTATTGTTAGTAAGTTTGGCAGAGAAAATTGCTTAGAATTAGTTACCAATATTTTGAACTTGCCTGTGTAAATTGTGCAAATGCAGCAGGCAATTTTGAAAAGGTATTTTTAATTATCATATCAACAGAGAATGCTTTTGTGGTGACTAATTTTTGACTAGAAAAAGGACATCTCTAGGGAATATTTCTTCCTCTTTGGAGTAGCCAATGAGTTAAAATCATAAGACACATACCTTTTGCATATTAACTGCACTTTACCCACAGAGCTCATATTGGAAAAAATAGCAAACAATTTTCTTCTAGTCAAAGGACAATATTGGTGATACTGACAAACTTTTTTTTTTTTTTTTTTTTTTATCAATTATGATTTCCATAATATGTAAGATGTGATATGGGAAGGTTAATGTTTATATAAACTTTGATGTTAAATACCCTCTCTGTACCTTGCTAGTTGTGATCGTGGGAGGGCTTAGGTGACAGGAGACTGGGGCCCAATGTGGGGGATCACCCCTACCTTGGGCCTCAGCCCTCACCGCAACTAATTTTACTTGATCTCTTCTTCTAATCTTTCCTCTTCTGTATGTTCTTCATCCCCTTCTTCTATCCCATTCCTAAGATGTGAGAGCCATGCTGAAAGGATGAAAGGCTAGCTTTGTGTCTGTCATGAATGGCCTCTGGTAGCCATGGGCATGGTATTTCCTTGGTTAATTGCATAGCACTTACCCCTTATGGGTAGCCTGAGGAGTAGACCATTTCTTTTCACCATTTCATTCATTTCTATTCCCCCAAATGCTTGTCCTATCTACAACAAGGACTGGTCAGACTATGAAAATTACCTACTTACCTGCCTTGCTGATTATGATGCAGTGGCAGTACAGTGTTACACTGCTCCTCCCGGAGGTCAATATAAGTCCCATGTCAATATTGCCAAGATTAGCTTCCAAAGACATGACCTCCCCCATGAAGTTTATATTGGTGGATTGTCCTACCATGTCCTCGTCAATGTCAGAAATGTTGGCGTTTTGGTCACTCAGCCAAACATTGTTGCTCCAGAGACTGCTGGCCTGTGTGTGCCCAACCTGGTCATGACCGTTCAAATTGCTCTGCTCAGTCATGTACATGTGCCAATTTTGGAGACTCCCATAATGTACTTTGTAGGAGCTGCCCTGCCTATAAACTCGAATGTGAGGTAGCAGTCCTCAGATTCAAACTGGGCCTCACTCTACGTGAGGCCAGACAAGAAGCACAAGAAGGTTTTTCTCTCTCAACTTATTCCAAAACAGTCCTTCACTCTGCTCCCCCACCATCTTCACAAGATATTTCTGCATCTCCCCCACTATCTCTTCCCTATACCCTAAACCATCCTACCTCTACTCCCCCTTTCCTCCAGTCAAATCCTTTTCCAGTCCATATCCAGATAATCCAATGTCAACCACTTCTCTGATACCTACCCCTCCTCCTCATTTTACCTGTCGCATAAGACAACCTAAACGTTCCACACCATCTTCGCTTACCACATCCTCTCTCACACCCTCCTTTTCTTCTGCTCCTCAAACATCTATCCCTTCTTCTCCTCACAAGAAACTGTTTATTTCTCAGACCTCCCCTCCAGAAACTCTTGAAGACATTAAAAAATATCTAGACATGGCCAAAGAGAATGTTCTGCTCCACTATCCATCCTCCAATTCCTCTATTCTTATTCCTATTGCCAATATCCATCCTCCTCCTCCTCTTCCTACCCTCCATGTGCACCATTCCCTCTTCGTTCCCCATTATCCTTACCTCTCCCACCTGGATACTCACGTGAATCCCTGCTGTTGCAACAGTGCCCTTCTCTGGATCCTTCCCCTCCTGCCACTCTTCCTGATACTTCTCCACCTTTCCCAGTCCCCGTATCTCATTCCCCATCTTTTTCTGCTACAGCTATCACTAACCATATTTTATATTAGCTATTTTGCCAGTTTTCCTTAAAAAATATTCCTAATGCTTCCCCAGCCATAGATACACTTTATTTCACCCAATCACCCTATGACCTTAACCCTTTCCATTACTAATCATTTGCACCCTCTCTTTACCCTCTTCCCTCTCATACTATCCTATAACACTCTATAACCTTTGACATTTAACACATTTTATGCTAATCATTAACGCATTTTTACCCTTTTCACCACAATACTTTATCATAAGGCTGTACGACCTTTGATATCTAGCACATTTGTTTGTTTCAATCATCAATCATTAACCATTCACCTTGAAATGAATGGGAGAAATTCAGCTAGCATAAAATGTTAATAATAATAATAATAATAATAATAATAGTTAGTTAGTAATTCCAAACACACACACACACCCTCCTCCCAATTCCTGCTGGTATATTCTGTTATATATTATTTGATTACACAATTAGTTTATAAAGGTTGATTCTTGGCTCACTCTGGCTGACTTACTTTCTTGTAAAGTGGAGGATAGCACAATATGAAGTGGGAAGCACTATAATGAAGGGATATATGTAGTCACACTATTACCAACAAGGATATATGCTGTTAAATAATGTAACTTGTTCTGATCATGTGAAAACGGATTCTTTTAAAACATGGGTAGTTAGATTCCTACATCAGGAACTGTTATTTCCATGTCTAATGTAACTATATTTTAACCATTTCACTACAATCAACTAGTTGAGTGAAAAAGTGTGAGAAACATACAGATTTAACCCATAGCCGACGGGTGGCATGTACACACATGCCATGGCTGCTGTGGACCGTAAAACGGATGGCATCGTATCATGCCCATTCCTGTGCCACTGGCTCATCAGACGGAGTTTGTTTTTCTCTGATAGTAGCAGATTCATTTATATGGTAAAGATTTTAGGCAATGGCACCTATAATGAAGGTAAGCCTTCAAAATTATAATATTTTTATAAATTATAGCAAAATAAAAGCTTTTAGGTGCCATATGTCGCTCGAAGAGTACCAATCAAGCCAAGCACAAATGGGAAACTGGCGATGCGCACCAACAATCCCTTTCTTATGTCCACTTGCCAAACATTTTTACCCATCGGTACTGGTTAAAGCCTCCTTTTGAGGGACTGTATCTCCTCAATGACTGCATCTGGGGTCAAACAAGCAAATAACTATTAAGAGCAGACTCAACTGTGAGTGAGATGGATACTTGCTACCTAGCATTTGGACCCAGTTTGCCATGATGTAAGGAAATGTTACCTGGGGTGAAAGGGTTAAGGACCTTAACTGTATTTGCTTATGAACTTTTAAAGTTTTCACCTGCCATGTATTGGTTAATAGTTTGACTAGATTTTAATCTTTTGCATAAAATCAAGTCTGTAGAGCATCATTGTGGTAAACTAGTTTTCTACTGTAACATCATACAAAATCATCATAAAATATTTAAACTAGGAATATGAAAGATACTTTCAAAAACAAAATATATTTAAAGTATATCATACATTCTTTCATGAACTGTTGATGAATATTTGAAAACTTATTCTGATAAAAACTCCTCCTTCTCAACATCTCCTTCTACATCAAGAAAAATGTCATCTTCTGATATGGCCTTGGTGTCTACAGAACTCTTTTCATTCTTTTTCTTCTTCTTCTTGGGTACATCTGAAAAAGATTTTAAAAATCATATATATATGGTAAATATCATAATAAAAATACAAATGTTTCTTACAATATTTATGTATTCACAAATATATGAGCGATTCTCTCTTTGAACATTAACTCCATCCAAGGCTGCCCAACTGAGTGCATTTAGACCTGACATTCACCTCAATCCACTATAGCCTCTAAAAAACTGGAAGAATGTTTTCAACCATCTATTTAGCTGTAAATAGGAGGTAGGGACAGTGAGGAAATGATATTGGTACTGTTTGGAGTTTCTTCCAACTAAATTCCCTGATATCCACCCTTATATCCCCATTCCCTTGTACCCTTTTCTTTCCCTGAGCCAATAAATATACATTGAGTTTTCTTCTTATTCAGAAAAAAAATCAACTTTTGAAAGTATTTTGACAAGTTGCTAAAATATTTTCTGCTCTTTCAATTAGATCAGAGATAGTCAGAAGTAACTAAGTGTCATCTGCATACTGAACCACACATCAGTTTGTTAAGCATTCTGACAAATTCACATCTATAAAAAAAATGGTCCAGTACAGATCCCAAAGGGTCATATTTTTTCATTTTACCTGTTATCTTGAGGAAAGCAGTTTCTGTTAAAATACTACTACTACTAATAGGCCAAACAGCCATAGCCAAGGCTGCTACAACTGTGGCAATTTCAACCACAGGCAGTCCAACTGCAGGTTTGACCATAAGATCTGATGTGCATCTTGTTACTTGTATGGCCATGGACAAAAAACACTCTGTAGCTACTGCAAGGTTTAGGAATTTGTCCACAAAGACTGCTGATAGAGATAAATTCTTACCAAAAAGGTCTTTTAAATATTGTATACAGAAATGCACAATCCTACTTTATCATAACGATGAATTAGAACTGCTGGTCAAGAAGAGACATGCAGATATTTTATGTAAAAAAGATGTGTGGCTTATCTCAAGAAGTGACTCTCTTGTAAGAATACCAAGTTTCAGCAGTCACTGATATAACTGGCCACAGGAGGAGTATGCATCTCCACTTGAGATGATTTTTAAGGTAGCAGATATCACCAAAGGTGTTTTCAAACTTGAGGGGATTGAGGATGTATGAGTTACTGTACAATACAGTAAACTTACTTTAATAATTGTCTCATCTGACAGTCCTGCCCAGGGGCAGGGCTGTTGCCTGGAGGTTACTGCTGTGGCTGGGCACCATGACAGGTAAGGACTCAGCTCAGTTGAGTCAGCCCCAGCTGACACACTCTAATCATGTCGGCACAAGCCGGGTTTCCCTTCATAAGCATAACCTGGGCAAGGTCCAGCTTCGCATACCTGACTTTTCCTTATCTTACAACCAATCATC